TGTTGTGGAGAATTGCGTGGGTATGGAGAGTGGGAAAGAACAGGCGTTGGAAGACGCGCCAGCAGCACTTTATAGGTCTGCTGTATGGGACCACTTTGCATTTAGAGTGACCTACGATGACGGCGGAAAGAAAGCTGTGGATAAAAGTGCAACAGTGTGCAAGCATTGTGCAACACGTTTTGTTTATGCTAACAGCAATATGACCAACATGTCATGCTAAACCCGAAATCCCACATACTCCGTCAGCGCTCCGCCCTGCTGCGCTCCAGACCGGCTGCTCAAAGCAAAGCCTACAGCCTCCGCTGTGGCTCCCGTCCGCTCCCCTCTGAGTTCCTTGGAGATCGTAAAGATGGTAGAGAGCATGCACCAGATGATTAAATTCAAAGCAGCAAAACATGCGGAAATGATCCAGGGTTTCCATGGATCATTAAAAATAATTCATTAATTTTTTTGGATTTTTTCATTAATTTCATTAATTTTTATGGGATTTTATAGGAACATATACTGAACCAAACCGAAAACCGTGACCACGAAACCATGAATCGAACCGAACCGTGGATTTTGTGAACCGTTCCACCCCTAGTGTAAGACTGTCATGAGCTGTTAACTTTATACCCTGCAGTTTTTCGTCGTACAGTTTGAGCTGTAGCTGAGGACAATGATGCTCGGCTTTAGAGCTCACAGATCAGATAAAAGTTCATTTAAAACTTTTTGTGCTTCTTTTTAAATTCCCAGCAAGTAAAGATCAATGCTAATAGTTTGCAGATGCTCTAATTTTTTATGGTATTTCCACTTTTGTTTTTGTAATTTTAGGTCTTTTTTTTAATGCATTTTTTTTTTTATGGATTATATTTAGTATCAGTTTTTGCTTTGTTTCCTGTTTGGTTGCTGGGATCTTGTTAAAAATACTGACACCCAAAGACCATGTGGCAAAAAAAAGCTTGAAATGGTTAAAATTAAATTAAATTTAAAACCAAAAGTTTGAAAAAGTATATCAGTGCAATTTTATGCTCTCTATTGTTTTTGAAGTTAATATATTTGATTTTCTTCATAACACCCAGCATTATCTTCATCCTGTCCAGCCTGTCTGAAATATCCCAGCATGCCTTGCTTGGCGGCAGCTACCTTCACATTTCACTGCTTCTCTGCACCATCTCTTCTTCCTCACCAACTTTCCTTCCAGATTAAATACCAGGAACCCCCCTCCCTCCTACTCATCTGGAGCAGCCTCTTCCTCCTCCTCTCCGCCTTTGATCTTCATCTTCCTCGCCCTCGGCCATTCTGCTCATTGTTATCTCTCTGCAAAAATCAAACGTTTCCACCAACATAAACTTCCAGAAGATGGTTCAGCTCTCCCGCTTCCTACCAACCGACTGGTTCCATTCGGCTCATCTGATTGGTTCCTGGTGCTTGGTCCAGAGGGGGCTTCTGTTTTTGTGGTGGAGAAGAAACATGCAGTTATTTTACAGATGAAACTCCATCATTATATCAGCACCACTGATTGTAGATGAAATGTTTTGTGCCTCTGAGTCGAGACGTTATGGCCTCAGCTGCTTTTTCCTTTCCTCAGGATGCCATTGACCTTTTCCTGGGGAACTTTTCTGTTGACGAGTCCGATGGGCCCACTCCTCTCCGTATGAAGAAGGACTGGAAGTTCCTAACGGTGAGTTTTTTTTCTCTCAGTAATAGCCGTGAACATTAGTGATCTGACTCTGACTTTCTTTTGCGTTTTGTTTTCCAAGCTTCCCATCGTCATGCTGGTTGCGTTTTCCATGTGCATCGTTTCGCTCCTTCTGGCCGGTAAGTGACATTTCAGAGCGACGCCGCTGGGTTTGGCGTCATGAGGAAGGGGGTTGTAAATGTTTGGTGTTCTCCAGAGGCGTGCCCAGACCTTTTGGGGGGCAGGTGCTCAGGAGGGGGGGAGGGCACTTTTTAGCGC